GATCGAGGGGACGTTTGCTTTGAAGAGTAGTGTATCTGGATGCTTCTTCTTTCCTCATGTTCCAACATTTAAAAACATGGCGAGAATATTAGAGCTGTTGCCATCTTGTTTACACGGCTTTATTACTTTCTCACTCTTTATGTTATCGGGATGGTCGGATAGCCAAGTGGTTAAAGCGTTTGCTCATCACGCAAAAGGCCCGGATTCGATTCCCAAAATGGTTATAAAGTGTTAAGCCCATTTGTCGTCCTCTGCTGTGGTGTTGCTAGAATACTGCTATAAAGGCGGCGAATACTGTATTCACTCACATTGTTCTTATTTCCATAGGGGCGATGGGATTGCCTCGTGGTTAAAGCGTTCGCTCGCCACGCCGTAGGCCCAGGTTCGATTCCCCAGTTTGGTACACTGTGTAAAGCCCATTTCTGGTGTCCTCCACCGTGCTATTACTGGAATATGGGTTAAAGCCATGTAAAACCATATATTGTAAAACCATATATTGTAAAACCATATATTGCTTACTTACTCTTTTTCTACACTATCTCGCTACCATTCATTTTTATCTGTTATTTAAAATGTCTCTGCTCCTATCGTTTTAATGTCTTTCCGAGTTTTTGGGGGCTTTGAACATTCCACGCATTCCTACAGACTGGCTCTGAATGTTTGCCACATTGATTACTTGGATCATCTCAATTTTGATGCATCATCTAGGTACCCATACCTTGTTAAATTTCAAGATTTTTCATATGACCCGTTGTGACAGACGGTACTTCGGTAATTACATGACTCTGCTGACTCAGCATTCCTGACGTCCATCTATAACAAATGTTATTCCAATCTCCAGACAACTCAAACAAATATGCAATTGGTGCCATTCGCAACCCACCCAATGAATGTAGACAAGACAACAGATGCGCCAATGAAATGGGGCGTTTCAAATGTTTTTTGGATGCTGAAGAATGTTCTTATCCACCTCCCCCAGATGTGGCAGCGTGTGTCTGCGTGTGGCTGCCGGTGTATGGTGTGTACATAGCTAGGGCGTTTGTTCGCTTCCCTCCCGAGTGTCAGTCATCACGGTGATACCGAACGATGTACAAAAATATGACGAGTAACAACAGTAGATTGTTCATTTCTTGCTATAAGCAAGAAATTCTGGTGATAGAATTACAGGAAGAATGTTCCTTCTCGATTTTTTTCTAAATACGTCTTATTAAAATTAGAAAGGCTGTTCTAAGTAAAGTGCAAAGAACCGCGTGAGACGCATGGGTGGTCCAGTTGTCCAAGAAGTCGACTTGTTGCTCTATGGCTGCTGCAGTGCTGATACGACGTAGAAGTTTAACTCACCCACTCACTCACTCTCACTCAAGGCACCGCCTCGTCGCTTCATGGCGGAAGCAATGCTGATACGATGTTGAAGTTTAACTCGCCCACTCACTCACTCTCGCTCAAGGCACCGCCTCGTCGCTTCATGGCGGAAGCAATGCTGATACGATGTTGAAGTTTAACTCGCCCACTCACTCACTCTCGCTCAAGGCACCGCCTCGTCGCTTCATGGCGGAAGCAATGCTGATACAATGTTGAAGTTTAACTCACCCACTCACCCAAGACACATCCTTGTTGCTACATGGCTGAAGCAGTGCCGTTACGACATTGAAGTTTAACTCACTCACTCATGATCACTTACTCACTCACTCAAAACACCGCCTCCTCGTTTCATGGCGGAAGCAATGCAGATCACGGCGATCACTTTCAATTCACTCACTCACCCAGGACGCCGTTTTTGGGTGTGCCGAGTTTCATCCCTTGGGCATGCTAGAACCTGTGACAGCGGGTTCGAACCTCGGTTTGCCCTTGTTATGTTTCGTGTTGAACGCCATAGCTGTCTTTGTGAGTTTCACTGAGTTTGTGAGGGTCTGAAACCTGCACCACTTCGATCTTTCCTCCGACATTAACTTGGCATGCCTCGATACAGCTGGATTCCTGTGCAAAGCGGCTTTGAACCCCACTCAGTATCACAAAGCTGTAAGAGCGTTAGGGTTTCAAGCCATTGTCAGACTTCAGCGGCACCATACTACATGCTGGTTTCTCCCAAGTGTTTTCCGACATGTAATACGTGGGTCTTCCCTTCCACGTTGTCCCGACACAGAACGTGAGGTAAGAGCGTTACAGACATAGACCTACTGGTTAGTCTGTCTCACAATCCCTGAACCACATTATTTACCCTAATGCCTAGCCCTCCCGGCAATGCTAAAGCACTACATGAAGCAAGTCTAGATTTCCTCATGTTCAGATTCAGGGCCTAGATTTTCGAAGCTCTCTTAGCGCTAAGATAGTCGTAAGTGCCATACATTAACATTAACTTACGACTATCTTAGCGCTAAGAGAGCTTCGAAAATCTTGGCCCTGGATCCTATTCAATTTAAATGGGTTTATTTGCTACTATCAAACTTTATACATGTATATATATTCAGAGACAAAGCGTTAGTCTACCGATAGTTAACGACTTGCCCAGTCGTTTAAAGCACCACTAACGGCTCTGCAAAGTTCTTCACCCAGTTTACCATTACTCGTTTCTACGTTTGTAAGCACCATACCCTGTCTACTCTACCAAATGGGTAGTCTCCTGTCCCATGCATCGATTCGGGCTTTCGCAGCGGAGTTTGATCGATCATGATTTGATCATGATGTTGATCACCGGATTGTCTGCTCCAGTCCAGTCATTTACAGACCGCCGCCATATAGCTGGAGTATTGCTGAGTGCGGCGTGCGTTAAGCAATAAACAAACAGCGGCTTTTAATCACCTCACTGACGTTATATATCTGAAATAGTTGCGTTAAAATCCAAATTAACTAATAGCGCTGACTAGGATGGTAATCGTCATACTAAACAGTTCTAAACAGAAGAGAGATCAATGTTCGAAACGTTCGATTACTGATACATTTTAGTAGGAAACATTGCAACAAAGCTGAGCTCATTTTCGGCAACAAAATTATTTTCTGTAAACTTACTGTTTATGTTTACAGTTATGTCTGTGTAAACCTTTAGGATGGGTGTACCGTACTTTAAACGGGTATTAAAAAGCATTACATGACCTCGGCATCAGTTATACGACCTGTGTATGTGACCTCTCTTTTCAGTTTGGCAGCACGGCTGACCTGTGCCAAGAACCTGTGTCCAGAACCTGTAGCCTGAGTTGTGTCAATTTCCTGCATGGAACCGCGGTATTCTGGTGAATTATAAGCCTTGGTGAGTAGAGAAGTTTATCCATGCTTAAAGGTGGACCATTTGATATCTGGGGATAAAAACAATGATCGTCCCAGAATGTGCTTCAGAAAAAGGATAACGCTTCAGACTGAAGAAAAACGATTGTCTGCCACAAAGAATAATTGTTTCAAAATTTAATTGGTTTTTATAGTTTTTCATGTAGAGTCCTGGTATCACTGAGAAAAAATATCTAGTTTTGTATATAAAAAATATCTTTACTTCGTATAAATCAAAAACACGTACAAACTCTCATTCTTTCAAATAAGAGTCCTTGAGACGTGAACTGCTAAGGCGGTGATTGGCTAGATGAAAGTAGTGACATCACTTCCGGAGAACGCCAAGTCACTGACCCAGCTCAAGGCATGTATCGTGAAGGAATGGAGATATACCACCCTGGATTATCGAAGATGTAAGCGTGCCTTGACCTGCTTCTATGCTGGCTTCCATCTATATTGTTCTCACATATAATGGGATTATGTTGCTAAATCTTATAGGCGGCATGAATCCCCATAAATCCTCACAATTATTTTCATATCCGATATGAGCTGACCTTTCATAATCTGTCTTGCAAGAGTGAGTGAGTGAGTATGGTTTAACGCCGTTTTTAGCTATATTCCAGCAATATCACGGCGGGGACACCACAAATGGGCTTCACACATTGTGCCCATGTGGGGAATCGAACCCGGGTCTTCGGCGTGACGAGCGAACGCTTTAACCACTAGGCTACCCCACCGCCCCTGTCTTGCAAGAAGTAACAGACAATGTAATCATGATGCATGTGCAGTTAATGGTTCTTCAGCAATTCAGACTCTGCCTAAATATATCATCATCACATATATTATCATTTAATTATTGGTTGGTTTGTTGTTTAACGCCGCAGTTATAAGGCGGCGGTCTGTAAATAATCGAGTCTGGACCAGAGAATCCAGTGAACAACAGCATGAGCATCGATTGGGATACGATGACATGTGTCAACCAAGTCAGCGAGCCTGACCACCCGATCCCGTTAGTCGCCTTTAACGACAAGCATAGGTTGCTAAAGACCAATTCTAACCCGGATCTTCACGGGTATATCATTTTAATGTAATATTGTGGTGGTAGTGGTGGTGGTGGTGATGGTGATGATGATGATTATTATTATTAAAACTAGAACAAAACATAAAGGTAAACACTTCATCCACTTACTACAGCTGAACATCGATTATCCGGACTGAGGTTTTCCATAACACACGTCTTCCCGGCACGTGGAATCACCAACAGGTGTTCAACGCAGACACTCACGTGTTTACTATAACAGGGAGTGTTTAGTCTTCGATATCAGATTAACGGATTTTAAGACGCAAATTAAAATTCCACTGCGATTTGTATATTTTGTAAATAAAATCCTTTTACACGGGAACTAATATTAATTTACATACACGTGGATCGCGATGGGGAAAATATTTGTTTGTTCACAGTGTTTCGTTACTACTTAACGATGACGTTTCGAAGATCTTGGTTCTCTCCATGCCAAAAACGCATATATCTGTGTTGAAATAACAGGTCAGGCAACCCGCATACAGGCAGTGGTTCTTGTGAACCAAGCACGTGCACCAACCAGCGTTTGTTACCGTTGTGTTCATTTGCACTTGGTATTAATCGCGTTGCATTCGCAGATCGATATGGTATAGGACAGCTTCTAATTATCATGTTTTCTTGTATTACAGGCTGATACTCGTCCAAGATTCCGGCAGAAACAGTAGCGGAAAAGCAACACATGACAATTAAAACGCCACAAAATCCATATGGGATATTTTCCCAACAGGAGCGAAAATCTGTTTGCACTTCAGCAACGGCAGCATAAGCATTCCACCTTCATATGTCCATCGACATGAGATGAGGGAGCCGGTGACAAGCTGTGCGTCGCCATGTGCAAACGAGATTTGCTTTTGATAAGGTCACATGACCACTACCACGGGATTCTGCGAGTAATGTAAATGAATGGTTAGAGGAGCGAAAATGGAAGTTGTGCCTCGCGAAATCCGTGATTTACAGCACGGGGGAAACTTCAACGCTTAACTAACTGGATAATTTTTCGTTGAAGATATGTTTTTTTTCGCAGGGCTATTGTCGCATGTGTATTCTCCGCCGAATGAGTTCTTCCCGAACAAACCGCACGCGTAGCGGTGGTATCGATTCGCAAGGCTCGAGTTTGTAGGAAATATTCCATTGACAAGCCGTCTCGCTGGGAAGTCAGCTGGCTGCTTACCGTAGACCTCCGCCGTAACTTTACTTCCAGGTAGTCTTCACGGAGCTGCTGCCGAGCCCATTGGTAAAGCCAGATGGTGTACGCCGCACCGCCAGGCAGTTCCTCCACGCTGAGGTACGTGATTTAGGCAGGTACGCCTAAAATGGATCTCAGAAGGCGTGTTCACCTATCATTCATCGCGGATCTTGGCACAGCCACTTCTGAGTTGTCTAATTCACAACTCTGTTGCCGTACCATTATGTGAGAGAGTACGAGATATACCAAATTGCTTTGTTTCACCTGTGCATGGGAATATTGGATAATATGTAAGGTTAGGCTGTGCGGCAAGTATGGCTGAAGAATCTAGTGGTCTCCGACGCCAGCTGAGCGTCAAGGAACGAAAGAAGGAAGAAAATGAGAGGGAGGAAGAAGAAGAAAGTGATGAGAAGAAAAGTAAAGATGTGGAGGCACAAAACAATTCCGATGGTGATGATCGGGAAGAGGAAGAGGAAGAGGAAATACCCTTTCCCGGATTTCCAGCGAAATCATTCTTAATTTTCAAGCAAACTAACAAGCTTCGCTTCGTCTGCCTGAAGACCATCACAAATCCATATCCTTTTATCTATAATATTGTTCGTCATTTTGGGATTATATTTCCAATTTCATTTCGCTCATACATGGATATTGTGCGTTCAATTTCGAGTTTCAGCTGAAGTGGTTCAACGGATGATTTCCTATCAGGTAATGTACGTTATATCATTGTTGGCCATTTTATAGTGAGCATTGATGACTAGGTATCATGATTATCGATTTAAACACCCATATGCGCAGAATGCGAGTGATGTTGAATGCGCCATGATTCATCGATATTGCACGATCCACCGTCTTAAGACACGTCTTGCATAAGAATGTCATGTTTCATCTTGTTTGGTGAAAAACGTCCTTACTGCGTTCTGTCATTATTCAACTAACATTCAAAGAGGGGTTGCTTAGCGTCATGTAACGGAGAATCTTTATCAGCTGTTTATCTGTTTGGGGAAAAAATGCACCAGTCGTGATGGAATAGATGTACATTTCAAACAGAATGATTAATGCTGGCTCACATATCATGGAAATGAATAGGCGGATAGTGTGTCGGGTGTTTTTTACTTCTTATGACGAGGTCGGACGTTGGTGTTTGTATTGTTTTTAGAATCAACATATGTATTGGATTTCTTTCGTCTTTTTCTGGATGACGGTTGTAAATAATTTACAGAAGGATTGATCAGTCTGTTTTCATCGTCCCTAAGCGTATGTAAACGTTTAGTAGTGTACATTGCTCTAGTGTAAACAGACACCTAGCTCTAAGACTGGTATACATGAACGCCAAGGTTTCAGATGATGAACTGAACATCCACATTAGATAACATGTTTTCTGAAATGGGAATTATATTTCCCACACTATGTTTTCAGCTGTGATGTATATTAATCATTAGTCTATTGTTTGTATTGATCACATTTGCCCCCTGAACCATGAACACAATCTAGTCATTGTTAGGTTGTTTTAATTATTAAAAGTGCCAATTCCCATCAGTTGGTTCAGTTGGGTAAACCATTCTGATAGTTGGTTTAGTGCCTAGGTTTTGAGAGAAATTATTGCCACATTTAATTGTAAATCTTGTTTTGAGCAGGTTAAATTGTTAACTGTAATCTGATCTCATCAATTTCAACCTGACTGTCAGAAGAGAAATGCATTTCACTGCAAGATGTAAACAATGACATCATGACCATGAGCAACAGCTGGTAGTTTCATCAGCTGTTAACAAAATTGAAACTGAAGTACAATTAAAATGCTAAGATGTTTATATCTATAAATTTAAAACATTAACTATTAAAGTTGACATTTGAATGTGGGTGTAAACAAACCAAGCAGATATATTTTGCAAGAAATTGTTGTTGAAGGTTGAAGAAGTTGTTGACAACAGCTCCTGCTGTACATGTTAAGAGTTCCCAGTGACCCTGGATGAGGTATTTGGTGATGAGTAGCCTGGGGTTTGGATTTCACTGATGTAGATTTCAGTCATGAAATGGATTACTTGATGTGGATTTCACGACTAATGAGTCCCTGCCAGGAACTTGTATTAAAATGCAATTATTTACATATATGATTGTTGTCGCGCTGTGAGAGCTCTTCTAAATGCTGTGTTTATTTGGCATTTGAGGGTTGTCGGCTTGTAGATTTCAGTCATGATGATGAGCATTGCTGAGGGAAGCATCTTCACAAGAAATGGGTATTGTTTAAAGCTCTGATAAAACGCACCTTCACAATCTGTGTAAAACACATATACAATAGCAACCTCATAAAAAATGCCTGCATTCTCTTTTCAACATGTGAAAGCTGTGGTGTACATTTCAACACAGATGTATCGGTGCTTAGAAAGATCCCTAGAAGATAATGGCATTGTTTTAACAACACATCTATGTATGTTTGGGTGGGATTAGCAATCGCTGTCCTTTTTGCTAATGAAAATAATCTGTTGAAAATATATCAAATCATCTTTAAAAGAGTTTATATATTGGGTGTGTACGTGTTTCATTTTTTTCCTTTGTAGCCTTTAGAGAGGGAAGGGTAAAGGTTCCGTTTTGTGTTCTTTTGGAGATTATGATTACAAGATAGTTGTGGTTGTAAGAAACTAAACTGTTGGCATTTTCCTGAAATGTTATCAGCAAGGAAGGTCTTGGTGTCCCTTCTGATACTGCGAGGCTCTATACAAGGGGTCCTGCTTTCCCAATTTGTTCTTTATCATCTCTGTACTAACATGAGAGATGAAAAGACGCATTCTGAAAACAAGCTTATCATTTTAACTGAAAGTTTGGAGAACTCAAAGTTAAGAATTTCAGCATATTACAAGTACATTGTAGGTCACATGGAAACAAAATTTATTTGGTTTGATATAGAAAATTTTGAATAAATTTGATGAATTTGGATGTGCATATTTTGGCATAGATATTAGAAATTGAATATCAACTATTGTGTGAGATTGAGTCTGATTAATATTAAATGAGCCTGTCAATCCCCCATTCCTGGAGCCCCTCAAAGGCCCAACACAGGCGCAGCACCCATCCCAATACTGCACAGTCCGACATAGTTGAGGTTCCTGGAAGTGCTAGCAGACCAGCTGGGAATAGTCCGGCACTGTAAGAATGGTGGAATTCCTGCACTGGGTGGGAGTAAGGTGGAAATGCATGGAAGTGGGATGGTGGGGACTTGTCAGGGGATGGGTGTGGTTCAGCTGCTGAGACAAGGGGATTGAGGGAGTTAGGATTGGTGGTACTTGGGGAGCAACACAGGGGACATTTCCTGACATGAAACAAAGTGTGTATCACTAGGACTGTAACAATGCATCAAACTATCGATGGATTGCAATTGTTGAGTCTCCAATAGCAATTAATCGCTGGTAGAAACGAAAAACTATCGATGCATCGATAGTATGTGTGACTATCGATCGTTTAGTAATTGACTTCCGTTGATAAGTGCTCAGGGCAAATTAGTTATTTCCAGATTTGTTCACTTTGATTTAGAGTTATCTGCCCCTGTTCCTTGTTAACTGTTAACTTGATCTGAGTTTCAAGTTTCTTGTCAGTTTTTAGAAGAGACTGAAACTACTTCAACTTGTTTTTATTTCATATAAACTATACATTCATTTGGAAAATGACTTCAAATGAGACAATTCAAGGAGAAAAAACTATTGCAATAGTAGTGCAATAGTTGGTCACAATAGACTATCGCTATCACAATAGTATGTTGCAGTAGACTATCGCTATCACAATAGTATGTTGCAGTAGACTATCGCTATCACAATAGTATGTTGCAGTAGACTATCGCTATCACAATAGTATGTTGCAGTAGACTATCGCTATCACAATAGTATGTTGCAGTAGACTATCGCTAACGCTATCACAACAGTTGTACCACAATAACAGTCCCCTCAATAGTCACCCCAAGTTATCACATCCCCCTGTACAGATTCTGGGTTTGAAGAAGTCTCCCGCAACCAATGAGTTCCACCAATGAGATGGCCTGATGGTCGGGTTCAGTGACTTGATGTATTGCATGTCATGATACCCTGACCGTGTGGATTGTTGCTGACAATGTCAGTGTCAGTATTGTCCAGTCCAACTTTGATCATTTCCTGGCTGCTCAAACATAGCTGAAATATTGCTGAGTGATTTTAACAACAAACAAATCATGGTGAGCTATGACTAGAAAAATGTTCTTCCAACCCAATTAAAAAAAATCCAAATGAACCCAGAAAAATTCTTAATTTAAGAGCTGAAGCAACTAGACTTGCCAAATCATTCTCGACTTGAGATGGTTCTGTTTTTTGTCAAAATATGATGGTGTCCTCATAGTCTGTTGGGATCAGTCGGTCTCAGTTATAAGAATACATAAATAAATGACAGAGAAGTAGATAATTATATTTTAGATTAAATATGTATGGTATTTGTGTGAATTCAATGATGATAAAATACCTTAAATTGTGGATCTTCAGGTGAAGTTATGAAACAAAGAGCAAGTACATTGAATTAAACACATTTTATGTTTTGACAGTCAGAAATATTAAAAGAATGATGAAAACAAAAAACAATGTCAGTTGTCAGAGTTTCAAGCATGTTTTGATTTGAACGGACTGTAAGAATTTAACAATCAGGATGTAGATTTTGTCGTTATTTTAAAGGTTAAAGCACAGAATATTACACGTAATATGTACGGTAATCCTCGCAAATGGTGCAGACAGCACCAGGAAGTGCCAGAGTATTACATGTGCATCACACACTGTTAGGCATCACCCAGATGTACAATCGCTCTTCACGGCAGGGAGTCTATAAGGGAAATACCTAGTAGCACCAGTGGTCTATCAGATGGATAGCAGACAGGTTCCACTTACCCTGACCCTCCCCCACCCCTCCCCCTCCTGTGCAGGCTGGGTCAACAGCTTCACCTTTGATGTTGGTTATCTGCTCTACAGTATGGGTCAGTACTGGCAGGGTCAAAGTTCACGGAATTCATTTGGCATGTGCTGTGTCTATGCTGTGGTAATGCTATCCACACAACCGCTTCCCTCCATGAGATCATGTTGAAGATATCTGCCTAATGATTAAATTTATCCAAAGGGCTTGGTTCTGATCAATTAGCAGATGTAGCAAATCGTCCCAAAATTCGATTTTGCCTTGTCTGCTAACATTAGTTTTATGAGGCCCGGAACTGTACTTGATAATGATAACTGTAATACTCAAAGACATTCACTTAATTTCACATTGCAATATTAAGGCTCTACATGGTGATCTGTTTCTCAGTCCCAAACCATCCCTTTTCCTTCTGCCGACGACTTACTGCTAAAGCGTAAATAAAGCAGGTTTTCCTGTGCAGAGTTTCATCTCATTGGTATCTCATGTTTAATTAGCATGTAGTTGTGTGTTACTTTCAAAGTTGTATGTATTTAGAGACTAATTATTAGTACAGACATAGATACCAGCTTCTTCCCTCTTTGAGCTGTCATGGTGTCTTGTTTGCAGTGGGGCGGTGGGGTAGCCTAGTGGTTAAAGCGTTCGCTCGTCACGCCGAAGACC